CCCTGGAAAAATCCCACCTGGATCCCTGGAAAAACCCCACCTGGATCCCTGGAAAAATCCCACCTGGAACCCTAGAAAAATCCCACCTGGAACCCTGGATAAATTCCACCTGGATCCCTGGAAAAATCCAGCCTGGATCCCTGGAAAAATCCAGCCTGGATTCCTGAATAAAGCCTGCCTGGATTAATCCAGCCTGGATTAATCCCTGGTTAATTCTCACCTGAATCCCTGGAAAAATCCCACCTGGATCCCTGGAAAAACCCCACCTGGATCCCTGGAAAAATCCAGCCTGGATCCCTGGAAAAATCCCACCTGGATCCCTGGAAAAATCCCACCTGGATCCCTGGAAAAATCCAGCCTGGAACCCTGGAAAAATTCCATCTGGATCCCTGAATAAATCCTGACTGGGTTCCTGGATAAATCCAGCCTGGAACCCTGGATAATTCCTGCCTGGATAAATCCTGCCTGGATTCATCCCTGGTTAATTCCTGCCTGGATCTCTGGGTAAACCTGGCCTGGAAAATCCATATCTGGATAATTCCTGCCTGGATCCCTGGATAGAACCTGCCCGGATTCCAGAATAAATCCAGCCTGGAACCCTGGATAAATCCAGCCTAGATAATTCCTGCCTGGATCCCTGGGCTATTTATGTCTGAATAAACCTCTCCTGGATCCCTGGATAAATCCTGCTTGGATACCTGGACAAATCCCACCTGGATCCCTGGATAACTCCCACCTGGATCCCTGGAAAAATCCCGCCTGGATCCCTGGATAACCCATGTCTGGATAAATCCTGCCTGGATCCCTGGATAATCCATGTCTGGATAAATCCCTCCTGGATCCCAGGATAATTCATGTCTGGATAAATCCCTGGAAAAATCCTGCCTGGATCCCTGGATAACTCATGTCTGGACAAATCCCTCCTGGATCCCTGGATAATCCATATTTGGATAAATCCCACCTGGATCCCTGGATAACCCATGTCTGGACAAATCCCACCTGGATCCCTGGATAACTCCCGCCTGGATCCCTGGAAAAATCCTGCCTGAATCCCTGGATAACCCATGTCTGGACAAATCCTGCCTGGATCCCTGGATAATTCATGTCTTGATAAATCCTGCCTGAATCCCTGGAAAAATCCTGCCTGGATCCCTGGATAACCCATGTCTGGATAAATCCCTCCTGGACCCCTGGATCCAGCTGAAACGCCCCTCTAATTACCCAAGGACTAATTAATCAGCTAATTAATTGGCTCGTGAGGGAGGGGTGGGATGGGGCTCAGGGGTTGATCCCGGAGCGTTCCCACTGCGGGACGGATCGCGGCGCCTTGTCAGGAGCAGGCGGCTCCTGATCAATCATGAATCAAATAAATAATTCGGGATTTATTACGGCCCGGCGGCTCCCGGAATCGGGGGGCGGCGCCCCGCGGATCCTCGTCCCTCCTCGGGCGGGTTTTGGGGGGAACGGGAGGTCGGATTCTCCCTGCGAGCAGCGGGGGCGGCTCGGGGAGGGGACACGCAGGGGACATCGCGGCCATCCCAGCACAAGGGGACTCTGCTGGGGCTGCTTCTCCTGGTCGGAAGGAAAAGAGAAGCTCGGAGGGGTCGGGCTGGGATCAGAGCCGGGTTTTGGGCTCAGAGGAGAGCGGCGAGGCCTCATGGAGAGCAGGAACCTCTCCTCTGGGGGAGGAGGGGAAAAAACCTACAGAAACCCTACAGAAACCATATAGAAACCATATAGAAACCCTACAAAACCCTACAGAAACCCTACAAAACCCTACAAAACCCTACAAAACCCTACAAAACCCTACAGAAACCCTACAGAAACCATATAGAAACCATATATAAACCCTACAGAAACCCTACAGAAACCCTACAGAAACCATATAGAAACCATATAGAAACCCTACAGAAACCCTAGAGAAACCCTGCAGAAAACATATAGAAACCCTGCAGAAACCCTGCAGAAACCCTGCAGAAACCCTACAAAACCCTACAGAAACCCTACAAAACCCTACAAAACCCTACAAAACCCTACAGAAACCCTACAGAAACCCTACAGAAACCCTACAAAACCCTACAAAACCCTACAAAACCCTACAGAAACCCTACAGAAACCCTNACAAAACCCTACAGAAACCCTACAGAAACCCTGCAGAAACCCTACAAAACCCTACAAAACCCTACAAAACCCTACAGAAACCCTACAGAAACCCTACAGAAACCCTACAAAACCCTACAAAACCCTAGAGAAACCCTGCAGAAACCCTACAAAACCCTACAGAAACCCTACAAAACCCTACAGAACCCTACAGAAACCCTACAGAAACCCTACAGAACCCTACAAAACCCTACAAAACCCTACAGAAACCCTGCAAAACCCTACAGAACCCTACAGAAACCCTACAAAACCCTACAAAACCCTACAGAAACCCTAAAAAACCCTACAGAAACCCTACAAAACCCAACAAAACCCTACAAAAACTGTACAGAAACCCTACAGAAACCCTACAGAACCCTACAGAAACCACAAGAAGCTCCACAACTTTATTCCCGGCCTTTGTGGGGTGACGAGGTTAATCAGCAAAGCCGATTCCAGCCGGTTCCCAGTGCTCCCAGTGCTCCCAGTGCTCCCAGTGCTCCCAGTGCTCCCAGTGCTCCCAGTGCTCCCAGTATGTCCCAGTGCTCCCAGTGCTCCCAGTGCTCCCAGTGCTCCCAGTCC